CCCCAAAACCCCAAAACCCCAAAACCCCAAAACCCCATAGGACAGGGATATCAATGAAAATATTAAATTAAATGAAAATGGGCTGGAGTCAAGCGATCATAGGATTTTTATTGATATACTGATGCTCTTGTGCTGTACAAAAGCAAACCTCTGCCACTAATGTAGTCAATGCTACTTATTTTGTCAATGGAGTACCTAAAGACTGTGATGTTGGTGCTAACAGTCATGTAATTGGGTTTTATTGTGCTGATCAAAAATATTTATTCTTCCATAAAATCACTGAGTTCTTAAATGGAGATCTTTCAACCCAATGTAAGCTTTTTACTTTAAATATTATATCATAAATAGACTTTATTTTCTCTTTTGACCTTATCTAGCAATTTTCATAAACAAAATTACTCTTTTTATGGGTTTAAACCAATATAGCAACTGTGAGAATGAGAGATAGCTACACCACAGCAAAAGTTCATAGAGGAAGAGGAGACTACTTCGTTACTTCCACTTTAGGATTAAATTCAAGCTGGGCTTTAACAACCATTTATTCAAATGTAGTTCTTACTCAACACTGGAAAATGAATGATCAAATGCCCCTGAACTTTGCTTTTGATGACAAGCTCTTTATAAATATTGCAAGAGATGTCGGCACAAATATAATTTATTGGCACGTAGGTCTTTTAGATATTTCAAGTACCAGAACTGAAAATAAGACCCTCAATGAGCCTGTAGGAATAGACTTACGTGTAAAGGACACTTCTACCTATGATGGTGTTCTTTACTATACTTTTTATGTATCGGATACTTCTTCTTACCAACTATACAAGCGAGATATAAGCTCTTCATTTGAATATAATGGAGGTTTTATCTACACCTCCATAGGTGACAACTGAGGGAGTGTAATTGAGGCTAGCACTCAACTGATTGCTGTATCTTGTCCAAGCTCTACAGATCCAACCTCTTCCATCATCACTATCTTGAAAGAATCAGATCTCTCCATCATCCACACTCAAGCATCGACTTCGAATACTTTTTCGATTGGAAACAAGATACAAATTGTTAGCTTCAGTGAATATGTAGGGCCCTCAGCTAATATTTAGCATCAAATATTCTATAACTCTATGAAAGCATCTACAGGAACTTTGGGTCAGATTAGTTTGGTAGAGATCTTATACAACAAAAGGGACTCCTCAGACTTTAAAATCAAGCTGACAGAAGAAGCTATTTCAGACGATACTTATAATACCTTTGGAAAATACTTCAGTGCTTTTCTAAATGGAGTTACAAATAAATTTTATGTTTCGAGCTACCTTAGTGATACTACTAGCACTGTTGCTCATGAGATCGAAGTAGCTAGCATGTGTAACTACCAGCAAACTTACTCTAGCGGGACAAAGCAATGCCAGGCTGTGAGTGCAGGGTCTGTTGCTCTTGGATTTCAAGCAACTTCAGCTACAACTTGTGCTGGGATTGATGATACTGTCGCTTTCAACAGACTCATTGGTGAAACCCTTTGTGATTATGGGTGTTCTACCACTCAGTTTGGAAAGAACTGAGAGTCATGTTCTACTTACATGACAAGGATAGGAGAAGCTGCTCCTTCTGGTTTCTCTTGGGATGACTCTACTGCAAATAAATGCAAACTTATTAGTGATACTACAGGAGATCCTTATTGTACAGAATATTTGCATTGTTCTCAATGTATTTATTCAGGAGCATGAGAATACACAAATTATCAATGCCAATCTACTAGCCAGAACCTTGATACAACTCCTCCAAATATTTATAGCCAATGATTCACAAAAGGGGTAAAAGAGCATCCAATTCTTTACTGAGGAGCTTCTATCATAGACACTTCTTCATCAACAACTTTCTCTCCAATACCTACCAACACAAATATCCCGAAAGGAATTCTGTGTAGATACTTCCTCTCAGCCGATTCTTCAAAGACCTACACTTACACAATAACTGCACCTGCTTCAACAACGGTTTCTCTTGAAAAGAAGCAAGGAAGTACTACCTCTATTGTCCCTTCTTCGAGAAGAGCTCTTCATGGTAGAGATCTTTCTTCTACTACTACTTTTACAGTTTCTTCTGCAGACTCAGTTAATATACTGTATCTGGCCACAGCTAGCCAGACTTCATCCACTCTTGGAATCTCTTTTAGTGCGACTACAGTGACTTCTGGATCTGGCAGTGGTTCTGGATCTAGTGGGGATTCTGGAACAGGGTCCTCTTCAAATTCGGAGCCAAGTAGTAATAAAGATACTGATTGGTTGATAATCCTTGGAGCCTCAGTCTTGGCTTGATGATTAGTCACAATTGTTTGTATAATCTTCCTTTATTGTTGATTAAAAAAAAGACACAAAAAAGAACATATTAAAGTCACTCTTAATGATAGCGGATTTGAAGAAATGCAAGGAGCTACTATTGACGAACTTCCAAGATTTGTGAGAGAAAAACTTAATAATTGTAGAGAAATGCAGTATCGTGAGAAAAATTACGTTTCTACAAACCGAAAATGAAAGATCTGCCTTGATGATTTTATTACAGGTGTTTCTATCAGGCTAATCCCAAAATGAGGCCATATTTTCCACTCAGATTGCCTCAAGACATCCCTCAAACTCCACCACAGTTGCAAAAGAGAATACAAATGCCCAGCTTGCCTGAGCCAAATAGTTTAAATAAACTAAATCAATATATTTCAAGTCTAAATTTCCCCCTCGGGGTTTTGGGGTTTTGGGGTTTTGGGGTTTTGGGGTTTTGGGG